TCTATCCTGTTTTGCTTGTTAGTTTTTAGTCTTAATTTTTTTTAGTCTTAATTTTTTTGTTCAGTCTGGTATACTTGGTATACCTCCCATGTAGCTGGTATATAGACAAGCACTACATATTCTGCTTTTTATTTATTAAGATTAGTGTCTGGTTAACTTTTTGCCCAGACTTGCCTTGAACTATTATCCTCCCAATTTCAGCCTCCCAAGTAGCTAGGATTACAGGAACAAACTATGTGCCCACTACTACCTCTTGGTTTGAAGCATCTTTAATCACAATGTGTCTTCTTTCTTCTGGTGGTATTGGGGTTGAACTCAGGGCCTTTCACTTGCTAGACAAATACTCTACCCCTTGAGCCAAACCCCCAACCCTTTTTGCCTTCATTGTTTTTCAAATAGGGTCTCACATATATCTCCAGGCTATTGTTCACCACAGTTCTCCTATAACAAGGATGACAGGCACAAGACATTGAGTCCAGCTGTTGATTGAGATGTCCAAGCTGGCCTGGAACTGTGAACCTCCTGATTTCAGTCTCATGCATAGCTGGACAGATGCATGCCACCATGTTCAGCTATAGCAATGAGGTCTAGAGTTTATGCCTAGGCTCATTTTGAACTACTATCCTTCAGATCTCTGTCTCCCAAGTAGCTTGGATTATAGGCTTCAGTCATTAGCACCCAGGTATAAAATGTATCTTTTTAGAAGTCATAATATTTTTTCTGCCTTCAGAGTAATCTATATTCATCACCTGAACACCATTAATTATTCATAAAACACATAAACACCTAGTACAATCAAGACATTGTGGACTATAATCATACAAAGATGATCAACATGAAGCCTGCCCTTGAGGAGCTTACAGTCTAAATGGGGAAATAATATCCTAAAGAAGTGGTCACACAGATTCCTAAGGGGACAATATAAAGCTTTGATCTCAAGATTCTAGTAAGGAATTACAGGTCCTCATTCAGAAGGGAAAAAAAAATGGCAGTCTGGTATCAATCACTAAGAACAGGTAAAACAAGAGAAAACATACAGGGTGAAGCACAATGCTATTAATATAAACCAGAAAAAGACATATGGATAGAACTTTAAATAGTATTGAGTTAGAGAAGTGAAAAACCAAGATGGAATCTATAGCATAAAATGAGTTAAGTAAATTTAAAATACACAAGATTAAAAACATTTTCTAAGAACTTATAAAAAAACAAGACTATGCACATCAGACACATTAGAATCACTGCCTACAGAAAACAATAGCAATAATAAGAATAGAAGAGAGAAGCCATCATAACAAAGGGCTAGGAATTAGTAATAAACTCAGCTTTCTACAGTTGAATAGAGTGAGCAAGAACAAAACAATCAGAAAGAAGATCCACTGAAATATTATATAGAAGACTGGAGAAAAATGGCTTCTCAAGATGGCTTAAAGATGTGTTTCATTTGTACTAGCATCATTTTATTTTATTTTGCATTTTATATTATTTTATTTGTGGTGCTTGTAATTGAGTGTAGGGCTTAATGCATGCTAGGCAAGCACTCTACTACTGAACAACATTTCCAGTCCCTTGAGATCATTTTAAATAGTTTATAGCAAGTGATTTTGATGTTATCTAACTTCTTGTTTTGTGCCAGTCCTAGGGCTTGAACTCAGGGTCTGGGCACTGTCCCTGAGCTTTTGTGCTCAAGGCACACAGTGCTCTACCTAGAGCCACAACTCCACTTCTGTTAACTGGAGATAAAGAGTCTAATGGACTTTCTGGACTGGGCTAGCTTAGAACCTCAATTGTCAGATCTTAGCCTCCAGATTAGCTAGGAGTACAAGCATGAGCCACCAGCACCAGAATTATACAACCTTTAAAGGGTTAAAAAAAAGTCTTCTCTTTTAGAATGTTTGTCAAACCAATTATAACAAGTAAGTTAGATGTAAATTGTCTACAACCAAATTTATTTATAAAACTGGTTATAAATAGAAATAGGTAATTATATTAGTTATATCTTTTCCCATCTGAATATTTATAACTACAGTTAATAATAGCTAAGTAATGCTAGTTTCACATTTTATTTATAGAGATAATTCTAAGGCCTGTGTTAGATGTTACTTAGAACCTTGACTCTTTGAAAACCAACAACAGACCAATGAGATTAGTTCCCTCAATCAGGAGGATATGACTCAAAATGGAAAAAGCCTACATAAATGTATATACACGGGAAAGAAGAAAAGGAATATTTGAGTTGAATAAGATGGGAATATGAATAAAAACATTTGTTAAACAGAGTGGAGTAAGGTATTGTAAGTTGAAAAGAAGATTGCTAGAAGATAAAAAAGAGTGTTACAGAACAAGAACCCTCAATCCATCTTTAATCACATATGCTACATAAAACTAATCACAGATTCAGAAAAAAACAAAAACAGAAAGGTTAAACAGCAATTTTACCACTCAAAGAAATTATTCTAGAGACACAATAAAACACTTGAAGGAGAAAAATATTGTCTTTGTTTAAAATAGGCTTTTATGTCTATCCTAATAATATAGTAGGTGCTTTTACAGCAACATTTTTCATTATTCATAGTAACATATATTCTATGATATGCATGATTTTTACGAATGTGATCTCATAACATAATGTACTATGACAGTCTGATATACAAATGTTGGACCTTCCCTAATTAATTCAGTAAAATGAAAGATTCCTTAAAACATTAGCAGGTTTTATGCTATTTTGCAAATAACAAATATAAAAGTGAAGAAACATAGATACTTATAATAAAACAGTTCACAAGAAAAAACAGGAGGGCTGGGAATGTGGCTTCGTGACAGAGTGCTTGCATAGTATGCATGAAGCCCTGGGTTTGATTCCTCAGTACCACATAAACAGAAAAGGCTGGAAGTGGCACCATGGCTTAAGTGGGTAGAGTGCTAGCCTTGCAAAAAAGCTCAGGGACAATGCCCAGGGATTGAGTTTAAGCCTCAGGACTGGCAAAAAAAAAAAAAATTACTCACTTGAGTATCAATTTAAAAATCAGTAAGTACTCAAGCTGGGTGCCAGTGGCTCACACTTGTAATCCTAGCTACTCAGAAGGCTGAGATTTGAGGTTCTAGGTTCAAAGCCAGCCCAGGCAAGAAAACCCATGAATCTCTTAGCTGCAATTAACTACCAGAAAAGTTGGAAGTGGAGCTGTGGCTCAAATGGCAGAGTGCTAGCCTTGAGCAAAAATTCTGAGACTATGCCCAGGCCCTGAATTAAAGCTCCAGGATGGGTGCGTGTGTGCGCACACGCACACGCACGCGCGCACGCACACACACACACACACACACAAACGCGTGCACACATACAATCAGTACTAAATGCTTTTACTTCTTGCACATTAAATCTAAGCTTGAAATGTTTTATTTCCTCTCTGTACATAGTCTGTCTAATTTTTCCCAGCCCATGTTCTTACAGTGCCCTACAGGGTTTAGCCAAATAAAAGACAAAAACCAAGAAAAACAGAGGCATTTAGTTTTAAATATTTTACTAAAGGCTATCAGCTAACTATGGTGCTCAAATTTGTTAACAAATATATGTTTAAGTTGCTTTTTAACTGTTAGGTGGCTTTAGCCCAGAAATTCAAACGAAGTCTAAGTTAAGCAACATCATAGTCATCTCAACTCTTCCCCAAAACCACAAAAAACAGCAGAAGCAAACAAAAAATAAAAATACACAAGAAATAGCTGAATAGGTGATGTCCAATGAAAAAATAGTAGAAATAGTTTAGGTCAGAGAAACTTTAGATATCCTATGTCTGAAATTAATAATTTAGAAATTAAGTAATCTGGCCATAATTTGAAAAAAAGCCACTCTTAATTGGTGCAAACCAACTTTTCTTAAATCACAGTATTAAAGATATTAACATATACTAACATCATATCATTGTGATTTTAACAGCCTAGAGTCATCATACACTAAATGAACTAGGTTATAAATTCTCTTGTGCTAATTTTTGTTTGTTTTGGTGGTGGTAGTACTGGAATCAACTCGGGATTCATGCATGCTAGCCAAGTATGTTAACACTGGCCTACATCCCTAATTTTTATATAGCATTAAAATCCTACAGATCACCTATTTTCTTTATTTCATAAAACTCAAATATTACAAGATACAAAATTAGGTAAAGATAGTTTATATCTTCAAATAAAAAAAGCAGGAAAAAAATCAGAGCTCATAAACTTCAGCCCTTTAGTATACACTTTGTCTTGAAAGTCACTTGAATCTTAATTATACATATTTTGATAGTTAATCTTTCATGTTCACATACAGATAGGTTTACATCCAGATTCATCTCCTATATTCCAGTATTACATAAATGAAACTGAGTGAGATTCTTAAGCATCTTTTATATTTGAATGGCTGCTACAAAGATAGAAAACATTTTCATTCTTTTCCTTATACTAGTGCTTAGCTAGTAGAAATCAATCATCAAGTAGAAAATGAATATGATAATAGAAAATGAAGATATAATAATTTTTTAATACAATAACAAATTAAGTTTGCTTCTTTGGTATATTCATCTGTGCCAGCTGAAAACTATATCTAGCAATATGTTAACAGGAAAACAATGTTTGTTTTTTTTTATAGCATTTGTCTTTCCTGTATATAGCCTATAAGAATATAAGGGTGAATGAGGATAAATACGATGGAAGTATTCTGTATGCATGTATGAAAATGGAACAATAAAACCTGCTGAAATTGTTTTAAGAAAGGGAAAGAGGAGTAAGAGAGAAAGAGAAGGGATGAGTTTGATCAGGGTATATTGTATGTACATATGAAAATGACACAAACAAAACCCCCTTTGTATAACAATATATTATAATAAAAATTATTTTTAAAAAGAGCTACTTGCATTTCTAAGAATTTTATACCTTAATTAGCCACATGTACAATGTAACTGTTTTAGATTTATTATTTAGGTGAGAAAAGTATCATTTTTCTAAGGAAAAAAAATTCAACAACTAACCTTTTTGTGCTCCTAAATGAGCAGAGGAGGTCTCTTGAGAAGTTCTGTCAGGTTCCTGAGGAGGTACAACCATGGCAAGTGTATGCATTGGTACACGTGGGACCTAAAAAGTTAACTCAGAAAAAAATCATCTCAGATCAAAGAGTAAAAAGTCCATAAATAAAAGAGATGTTGATTTTTATGTGTGTGTGTGCCAATACTGGGGCTTGAACTCAGGGCCTGAGCACTGTCCCTGAGCACTCTACCATTTATGCCACAGCTCCAGTTCTGGCTTTTTGGTGGTTAACTGGAAGTAAGAATCTCAGTAAGACTTTCCTGCCCCAGCTAGCTTCCAACTAGCCATAGCTATGCCCAGAATAACTTTGTAGAAAAGGATTAAGGATCTCACTTAATCTCACAAACTTTAAAGGGTTTTTTTTGTTGTTATTATTGTTTTATTTATTTATTTTATTTAGAGAATACTTTATTAGTTTCTGTAATCAAACCCACATAGATAAAACCTTACAGATTGTTTTATTTTTTGTGTGCTGTCCCTGGGGCTTGAACTCTGGCCCTGGGTATTGACCCTGAGCTCTTTAGCTCAACGCAAGTGCTCTACCACTTGAGCCACAGTGCCACTTCTGGTTTTTTTGGTGGTTAATTGGAGATAACAGTCTCAGATTTCCTGCCAGGGCTGGCTTTGAACTTTGATGCTCAGATCTCAGCCTCCTAAGTGGCAAGAATTACAAGCGTTCCCAAGAACAAAGAGACAAGTGGCTCATGGTCTCCCTGATAAGTGGATGTTAAATCCAAAATGCAAGGACATAACGACAAAGTAAACAAGATTGGAGAAACAAAGAACTTCCACTCATCTAGTCGTTATCATTACTAAATGACCCCATGCTGCTGACCACATATATGGTATATATGTACACATTGGAGGGAAACTAGGAAGAGGACACAGAACCAGAGAGAAACAGAGGGAAACATACAACAGTGGGACCCATCAGCTGCACTGGATATTGATTAAAACAAACTAAGCAACTCAATGGCAGCGATGGGAGGGCAGGGAATGAGAGGGAAAGAGGGAACAGCTGACACTAAGCAAAAGGAAAGAAATGTACAGATCATCTGATGTGGAAGAAATAACTGTATTGTCAAAGCTCATAGAACTCATAAACTCTAGACCACAAAAAAGACAATTTGCCACATGAAGATTAGAATGTGTTTGTGACTTGAACTAAGTATCACTATCACAACACTGAAATTTGTGAAATGTTACATAATCACTTAATAACAATAAAAAAAATTGAAAAAAAATTACAGGCATGAGCTCCTGGTGCCCAGCAAAAGTTGTTTTTTAATAGAACTATTTTTATTAAACAAGACAAAAAAATGTCTATGTGCCTTTGAAGAAATTTCTCATGTATCTAAGATTAATTTAAGAAGTAGATGTTAAATATGGCTCATGCCTATAATCCTAGCTATTTGGGAGATAGACTGAGGATAGCTTGAGGCCAACTGGGACAGAAGTTATCCAGATCCCTTCTAAACCCATAGCTGGGTACTGTGGGACATACCTGTCATCCCAAACTACATTATAGGCTCACATTAGGAGACTTATAGAGCCAGGTCATCCCAGAGAGAAAAGTTCCCATGATTTGATCCTCACAGAGGAAAACGAACATTGTGCCACATGCTTGTAATGACAGCAGAGACAGGAAGCCTAAAGAAGGCAATTATAACTCAGGTGTACACTCAGGCAGAAAGTGAGACCCTATCTAAAAAATAACCAGCAAAAAACAGGGCTGGAGGTGTGGCTTAAGTGGTAGAGCCAGTCTAGCAAGTGTGAAGCCCTGAATTCAAACGTCAGTACTACCAAAAAAAAACAACAAACAACTAAGATCATAATTATCTCAATATATAATAGGAAACAGAATCAATCTAATTTTACTTAAAACTAATATTAAACAGAAACTGTCAAGCACTTTGCAGAATATTTATATTGACAAGGAAAGTCCACTTTTTTTTACCTGAGATTGATCTTGAGAAGGAGGAGCAAGCTGAGACACATCTGTAGTAGGAACTGACAGAACATTATTTGGATAATCCAATAGATAAGAAACAACATTAGTATGGCCACCTTTTGCAGCTTCAATAAGCATTGTTGAGCCATCCTGAGAAAGAATTGACACCAAAATTAATTCTTTTAAAATCTCTTCTTATAGTCTGGTTGATCTAAACATTTGGTTTCTTAGTGGCTTATATAATATCAAGCCTCAAACAGTTATAAGTATTACACATTAAGGGATCAAACATGTTTTTATAATAATATATAGTATTTATTTTTAAGAATACCTTGAGTCGATGAGTAGGGTCAGCCCCATGAGCCAACAGTAGCTCAACAACTGCTAGATGGCCTCCTGCACATGCAAGTGAGACTACTGTATGATCATTATTAGCTGTAGCCCTGTTCACATTGGCACCTTCAGAAAAAAAAACAGCAATATTAGCAAAGGTTGAAATCAAGCCAGTTCACAGACAGTATCACTTTAAAGATTTCTAAAAGTACAATATAAATACAAGTATTGAAATTATAAGTGTATAGTGTATAGTTTTTATACAATGAATACACCTCTGTAATCAGCACTCACATCAAGAAACAGAATATTATTCACATACCAGAAGCTCTGCCTTGTGCCCCCTCTCAGTCACTACCCATTCCCTCCAATGGTAACTATAATCTTGACTTGCAAACCAGTTTTAGATTCTGAATTTTACATGAATAGAATCATAGAATGTATTCTTTTGGGTCTAGCTACTTTAGCTCAACATTTTATTTGTGAGATTCATCCACCTTGTAGCTTGTAGCTGTGGTTTGTTCATTCAATATCACTTTTAAGGTGGAAATTCTAGAAGACTAAGATTACTAAATATATATATATATATATATATATATATATATATATATATATATATATATATTGTGTGTGTGTGAGAGAGAGAGAGAGAGAGAGAGTCATGGGACTTGAACTCTGGGCATGGGCACTGTCCCTGAGCTCTTCAGCTCAAGGTGAGCACTCTACCACTTGAGCAACAGTGCCACTTTCAGTTTTCAGGTGGTTGATTAGAGCTAAGCATCTCATGGACTTTCCTGCCTGGGCTGGCTTAGAACCTTGATCCTCAGAACTCAACCTCCTGAGTAGCTAGGATTACAGGCGTGAGCCACCAGCACCTGGCAGATTAATAAATATATATAGATTAAAGTAAACATCAAATATTATTGTATGTAACTCTCAAAATGTTTTTGTTTTGATCTACTTCTATAAAGTAGCAATAAGCTTGGCACAGTGATACGCATATGCTACTCTATGTGAAGGCTAAGATTTGAAGGATCATAGACCAAGTGAGCTACTGCAAAGAAGCGTTTGAGACCCCTATCTCAACAGCAACACCAAAACCAAACCAAACCAAACCAAAATGACAAAAAGCTAGACTTGTGCTGCAATCCTGGCTACTCAAGGGGTTGAGATCTGGAGGATCTCAACCATTTGAAGCAGAAAAGCCCTCAAGACTCTTGCAGTTAAGGAGCAATTCTAAACTGGCAATGCGGCTCAAGTGGTAGAATGCCAGCCCTGAGCAAGAAAGCAGGAGAATGCAAGGATCTGAGCTCAAGCCCCAGTACCAGAAACAAAACAAAATAAAACAAAAAAATCCAAAGTAATAATATAGTTGGGTTTCAAAGCAGAGAAAATAAATTAAGTAATATTTAAGATAATATTTAACATAATTCCTCATATTGTGTATTTTTTATTTTGGGGGGTCTGGTTGTGGGGCTGAACTCTGGGCCTGGGCACTGTCCCTCAGGTCTTCAGCTCAAGGCTAGCACTCTACCACAGCGCCACAGCGCCACTTCCGGCTTTATTTTTCTGCTTATGTGGTGCTGAGGAATCAAACCCAGGGCCTCATGCATGCAAGGCAAGTGCTCTACCACTGAGCCACCTTCCCAACCCTCATATTGTATATTTTGAAAGTCAGAAAGACCTGGATATAAACAGAAAACAGAAGCTTGTCTAAATATATTATTTGTAAGGCCATTTAATAAGTTGTTCAATAGGTTTACATAATATAACCTGAAGAAAGCTTTAATGGAAAATTAAAATTTGTTATATTTTCTTTCTTTGTGAAACAGAGTGTGGCTGTATAGCCAGGCTGGTTCAAACTCAAAATCCTCCTGCCTCAGCCTCTAGAGTTCTGGATTATTTAACAAACACTGTCACACTCAAATTCCTTGCCTTTTATTTTTATTTTATTTTATTTATTTATTTTGTCAGTCGTGGGGCTTGAACTCTGGGCTTGGGCGCTGTCCCTGCACTCTTCAGCTCAAGGCGAGCACTCTACCACTTGAGCAACAGTGCCACTTCCGGTTTTCTGGTGGTTTATTGGAGATAAGAGTTTCACGGACTTTCCTGTCCAGGCTGGCTTTGAACCGTGATCCTCAGATCTCAGCCTCCTCAGTAGCTAGTATTACAGGCGTGAGCCACTGGTGCCCGGCATTATACCCAAGGCCTTATGCATGCCAGGGAAGTGCTTCACAACTAAGCTATATCTCCAGCCCCTACACTGAAAAGTTCTACTGAAATTCAAAGTGGCTTGCATTCTAACCCTAGCTACTTCAGAGGCGAAGAATGGGAAAATCACTGTTTGAGAGTCCAGCCTGCCAAGAAGTTAAGGAGCCTTTTCAGTCTTACAAGCCAAGCATGGTAACTTGTGTCTGTGATCCTAGCTGCGTGGTAAGCTGTAGGTGGGTAAATCCAGATCTGAGACAGGCTGGGGTAAATTTTTAAGCCCTACATGAAAAATAAAGCAAAAGGGGTTGGGGCTCAAGTAGTAGAGCAAATGGCCTAGCAAATGTGAGGCCCTGAGTTCAAACCCCAATGTTTTCTCAAAAATAAAATTTACATATAAAGTTTTTATTCTCATGACACCACCTGAGTGGAGCTTCATTGTTGTTGTTGTTTTGACATTCTATCCTAGGACTTTTCAGCAGATGCTAGTGTTATTGACACTACATAAAATGTTGAATAAAATGAAATGACTAATAGCCAGGGTATGAAAACAACCCAGATGCCCCAGTATAGATGAATGGATCCAAAAATTGTGGCACCTATATACAATGAAATATTATGCATCCATTAGAAAGGGCAAAATAATGGCATTCGCAGGGAAATGGATGGAACTAGAAAAAATCATGTTGAGTGAGGTAAGCCAAGAGCAAAGAGACAAACGGCACAGTCTCTCTGATAAGTGGATGTTAAGCCCAAAATGCAAGGAGATAATGACAAAGTAAACAAGACTGGAGAAACAAAGGACTTCCACTCATCTGGTCGTTATCATTACTAAATGACTCCATGCTGCTGACCACATATATGGTATATATGTGCACATTGGAGGGAAACTAGGAAGAGGACACAGAACCAGAGAGAAACAGAGGGAAACATACAACAGTGGGACCCATCAGCTGCACTGGATATTGATTAAAACAAACTAAGCAACTCAATGGCAGCGATGGGAGGGCAGGGAATGAGAGGGAAAGAGGGAACAGCTGACACTAAGCAAAAGGAAAGAAATGTACAGATCATCTGATGTGGAAGAAATAACTGTATTGTCAAAGCTCATAGAACTCATAAACTCTATAGATCACAAAAAAGTCAATTTGCCACATGAAGGTTAGAATGTGTTTGTGACTTGAACTAAGTATCACTATCACAACACTGAAATTTGTGAAATGTTACATAATCACTTAATAACAATAAAAAATTTTATATAGAAATGATTAACACCAGCACTTTGATCTATAAATACAATTTAATATGTTCAATCTTTCATTAGTTCATCAATATTTCACTTGTGTGTATGTATGTGTGTGTTAGTGCTAGGGCTCAATTCAGGGAATGGGTGCTGTCCCTGAGCTTCTTTTGTTCAAGGTTAATACTCTACCACTTGAGCCATACCTCCACTTTTGGCTTTTCTAGTAGTTTACTGAAGATAAAGAGTCTCATGGACTTTGCTGCCTGGGTGGCTTTGAACTGTGATCCTTACATCTCAGCCTCCCAAGCAGTTAGGATTACAGATGTGAACCACTAGTTTCTGGCAACATTTCACTTTTTTAAAGTAAACAGTCTTAAAAATAATTCTTTTATCTATCAACTGAACTTCTTTGCTTAAATATATTCTTATAATAATATGATTTTCAGATGAGTTTTAACAAAAAATTAGAACCTTCAATACTTTGCTAATTCTATTGAACTAGAAACGGTTCCACAACCTATCCCTATCCACATCTCTAGTAGAGTTGTGCTATTAAAAAATGAACATTAACCTCAATATAGCTGGATACTGCCAGGTGCCAGTGGCTCACGCCTGTAATCCTAGCTACTTAAGAGGCTAAGATCTGAGGATCATGGTTCAAAGCCAGCCTGGGAAGGAAAGTCTAGGAGACTCTTATCTCCAATAAATCACTCAGAAAACCGGAAGTGGCGCTATGGCCCAAGTGATCGAATGCTCGCCCTAAGCTGAAGAGCTGAGGGACAATGCCCAGGTCCAGAGTTCAAGCCCCACAACCAACAAAAGAATAAAAATTTAAAAAAATTAATTAAAAAATATATATAGCTGGACACTTACATTTGGCTTTTCCAATTATGGAGAGCAATTACATGTTTTGCTGATGAAAACTAACTCAAAACCAATACAGAAAATTGCCAATAAGACTACAAAAATGCTATGCTTACTAAACAAAACATACCAACAAAATATTAGAATACAATACTTGTAACAATAAGTAAAGTAGACTTAACATAAATTGTATCTGCTCAGGATTTTTTTCAGTAACTCTAGTCTCTTGGAAATAACCACTCTTTACCTTTGCTAATTAGAAATTGAACAGTGCACAAATGACCAGCTCGTGCAGCTTTCATCAAAGGTGTTCTTCCACCTTCAGATTCATGCTCCTGTTAAAGAAACAGAAAAATACTCCATCAGTACCAACTGAGTAAAGATATGTTTTAAGCACTTACTATTAATGCTATGAAATGATGAGGATTTAATACTTACTCAATGTAGCCACTTAATATTACCTTCCTCAATTCCTTCAAACAGCACTTAGTACCAATGCTATGATAAATGATGAAGATGTAGCATTTAATATAGCCACCTATACTTTATTGTACACCTCTAGTGCAATTTCAATCTATTCTATATGGGGAGCCTTTTATAGGCAACTTCAATTTCATGCCAAATAACAACTGTTAAAGATAATACTAGCCGGGCGCCAGTGACTCATGCCTGAATCCTACCTACTCAGGAGGCTGAGATCTGAGGATCGTGGTTCAAAGCCAGCTCGTGAGACGCTTAATAAACCACTGAGAAAACCAGAAGTGGGGCTGTGGCTCAACTGGTAAAGTGCTAGCCTTGAATGAAAAAGCTTAGGGCAAGTTCCCAGGCCCTGAGTTAAAGCCCCAGGCCTGACAAAAAAAAAAAAAAAAGATACTAACAGTATGGCTGCAAGAGGAATATATTGCTTCTTTCTTCTTTCTTTTCTTCCTTCCTTCCTCCCTCCCTCCCTTCCTTCCTTTCTTTCTCCTTCCTTCCTTCCTTCCATTTTTGTTGGTCATGGGGCTTGAACTCTAGACCTGGATGCTGTCCCTCAGCTCTTTAGCTCAAGGCTAGTGCTCTTACCACTTGAGCCACAGCCCCACTTCTGGTTTTCTGAGTGGTTTATTGAAGACAAGAGTCTCACAGTCTTTCCTGCCTGGACTGGCTTTGAACCATGATCCTCAGATCTCAGCCTCCAGAATAGTTAGGATTACAGGTGTGAACCACCAGGGACCGGCAGTTAGGAAGACATTTTTCTAACTATTCATTTGAAATGCGAAAACCATAGGAAGATACTTTTTTCTAACTACTGATCTGAACTATAGTCCTGGTAGTTGACTAGAAGGATCCTGATTTTTCATTAGAAGCCATTAAGAACTCCAACAAAAGAGAACAAATGCCTAGTGTAGAAATTAAATACTTGAATAGTTATAGGCAAAATAGAAAAACTCTTCCTTCTATGAACTTTGATAGCAAGAATGAGTAAATTAAAAGAGCTTCTAACAAGGCTTCATATCCAATGGCACTGAAGAGCTTGCTTGTATGATGAAAGAACTGTGAACCTTTATATATTAATGGAAGTATTGAAATATATCTGTAACTCACTTCCATAAAATGTTTTTCATTTTTCCCATCTTTTACTATGTATGTAATATGAATCTGCAGTTCTGATTTTTTTTTTTCAGTCGTGGAGCTTCAACTTAGAGCCTGGACGCTGTCCCTGAGCCTTTTCATACAAGGTTAGTACTCTACCACTTGAGCTACAGTGCCACTTCCAGTTTTCTGGTGGTTCACTGGAGAGAAGTCCTTTCCTTCCTGAGCTGGCTTTGAACAATAATCCTCAGATCTCAGCCTTCTGAGTAGCTGGGATTACAGGAATGAGCCACTGGTACCTGCCCAGGTCTGATTCTTATTGTGCGTGTGTGTGCGCACGCATGTGTGCATGCGTGCACGCATGCGTGCATGTGTTTGCATGTTTGCGCACATGCATGCCTTTACAAAGGCTTGAACTCAGGGCTTGGATGCTGTCCCTAAACTTTTTTGCTAAAGGTTAGTACTCTACCAAATAAGCCACAACTCCATTTCTGGCTTTTTGTGTTTAATTGGAGATTAGAGTCTTAGACTTTTCTGCTAGAGCTGGCTTTGAACTACCAAAAGGCTAGAAGTAGAATTATGGCTCAAGTGGTACAGCAGTAACCTTGAGCAAAAAAGTTCAGAAGAGTGCCTGGGCCTGGAGTTCAGACCCCAGGACAGACACCAAAACAAAACAAAAAACAAGCAAAACATAAAAACTCTAATCCATAATTTATGAAAAATATAGTAAGAAATAAGAGTAGATTGTTAACTCAGTGATAAGTTTTAAACCAGACTTTAGCTACAGGAATTCAATTCTAAAATGAGATAGCTAGTTGTTGTAGTTGTTTTTCTTCTGGTGTGTGCGTGTGTGTGTGTGTGGTACGCACATGCCATTAACAGGGCTTTGAACTCTTCCTTGGTTTTCTTGATATAGCTTGTACTCTACCATTTGAGTCATGCCTCCAGTGCCAGTATTTTTGTTGGTTAATTGGAGAGTCTCAAGGGTTTTTCTGCCCCACCTGGCTTTGGACTTGGATCTTAAGGATTTAAGCATCCTGAAGTAGCTAGGATTACAAGTGTTGAGACCACAGTTGAGGAGTCTTTTGTTATTATTATTATTTTTTTGGGGGGTCCGGTTGTGGGGCCTGAACTCTGGGTCTGGGCGCTGTCCCTCAGCTCTTAAGCTCAAGGTTAGTGCCCTACCACTTGAGCCACAGCACCACTTCCAGCTTTTTTCTTTTTGCTTGTGTGGTGCTGAGGAATCGAACCCAGGGCCTCATGCATGAAGGCAAGCGCTCTACCACTGCGCCACCTTCCCAGCCCCTCTTTTGTTATTTTTTTGAGATAAGAATTTCACTATATATAGTGCAAACTCCAACAACACCCACATGAAGTGTTTTTGTTTTTTTAATAATGTATTTAGTGTAATGTGCTCAATTTTCTCTTTCTCTTTTGTAAGTCATGGGGCTTGAACTCTGGGCTGTGCGCTGTCCCTCAGCTCTTCAGCCCAAGGCGAGCACAACACCACTTCTGATTTTCTGGTGGTTAATTGGCAATAAGAGTCTCATAGACTTCTTCTGCCTGGGCTGGCTTTGAACTCCGATCCTCAGATCTCAGCCTCCTGAGTAGCTAGAATTACAGGTGTGAGCCATCGGTGCCCAGCTGGTCTCTCTTTTTTCTAACACTTCAATAACTCCCTTTTATCTTACACTTCTTAAAACAAGTGTTATTTCTTTAAGGAACATCTCACTGAACTTCATGACTAGATCATACATGTTTACTTACAAATTTGTGAAATCACAATCACATACTAGTTTGTGCATTATTAGCAACTGTATACTAGCTTGTCTCCTCTACTATACAGTAAAGTCTGACAGTAGCAATCCAATCATGTCCAGTTTTTGCTCACTATTGTATACCTATTGTCTACAACAATAATGTGATTGAACAATTTACCAAACAAGAACCTAAGCATAACTGACTTCTCAAATCTTTCCTCTCATAGTACAGTTTTAAAGTATTGATCTATTTTTACTAGGTCAGAGAACAAAGTTAAAAACTTAATAGTAGTAAACTTGGAAGTCTTATCTTATTTTTGGACATAGCTACACAGTATTAGATTAATTTTTTCTCATATATATATATATATATATATATA